TTTCACTTGCATTCTTGATGTTGGTGCATGGCAGAGGGTGAGGATTTCTAGCATATTTAGCTGGATGTCTGCTCAATGGTCTCACTTGCATTATTGGTGTTGGTGGGTGACAGTGGGTGAGTGATTTCATGGCATGTTTAGCTGGATGTTTTCTCAATGGCCTCAAATGCACTCTTGATGTTGGTGGCATGATAGAGGGTGAGTGATAGTGATTTGGTGGCATGTCCAGCTGGATTTCTGCTCAATGGCCTCACTTGCACTCTTGTGTTGGTGACATGGACATGACAGCTGGTGGGTGATTTGATGGCATCATTAGCTGTATGTATGCTTAATGCCCTCACTTGCACTCTTAATGTTGGTGACATGGCAGTTAGTGAGTTATTTCCAGGCATGCTTAGCTGGATCTCTGCTCAATGCCCTCACTTATACTCTTGATGCTGGTGGCATGACAGTGGGTGAGTGATTTGATGGCATGTTTAGCTGAATGTCTGCTCAATTGCCTCACTTGCACTCTTGATGTTTGTCCCATGACAGCGGGTGAGTAATTTCATAACATGTTTAGCTGGATGGCTGCTCAATGGCCTCACTTGCACTGTTGATGTTGGTGGCATGACAGGATGTGAGTCATTTGATAGTATGTTTAGCTGAATGTTTGCTCAATAGCCTCACTTGCACTCTTCACATTGGTGGCATGACAGCGGGTGAGTGATTTGATGGCATGTTCAGCTGGATGTCCTTACTTGCACTCTTGATGTTGCTGGCATGACAGCTGGTCAGTGATTTGTTGGCATGTCTAATTGGATGTTTGCTCAATGGTTTCACTTTCACTCTTGATATTGCTGGCATGATAGGCTGTGAGTCATTTATGGCATGTGTAGCTGGATGTCTGCTCAATGGCCTTACTGCACTCTTCATGTTGGTGGCATGCTAGGATGTGAGTGATTTGATGGTATGTTTAGCTGGATGTCTGCTCAATAGCCTTACTTGGCTCTTGATGTTGGTGGCATGACAGGATGTGAGTGATTGGCTGGCACATTTATTTAGCTAGATGGCTGCTCAATGGCCTCACTTGCACTGTTGATTTTGGTGTCATGGCAGGATGTGAGTGATTTGATAGCATGTGTAGCTGGATGTCTGCTCAATGGCTTCACTTGTGCTATTGATGTTGGTGGCATGACAGGATGTAAGTGGTTTCATGGCATGTTTAGCTGGATGCCTGCTTAGTGCAATTCCTTGCACTGTTCATGTTGATGGTATGGCAGAATGTGTGTGAATTTTGTCCAATGCTGGATCTTTCTTGATTCCCTTGACTTCTATCTTCTGGGTTCCACTCATAGCTGGTGAGTGGTTCTCTGATTTTGCCTGTAGTGTTTGCTGAATTTTATGCACTCCCTAAACTACCTTGTATGACAGAATGTGAGTGATTGCATGGTTATTTGAGTGCATAGGTTGATTGTTATTTTGTGGTGCCCTTGGTATGACCTCTTCTTTGGCAGGAGGTGTGCAGCCTCACAGCAGCCATAACTGGCCACATTTTCTCATTCACCCATGCTGTGACCATGTTGGTCACACATGTCATTACATTTCTTAGCTTGTAAGCATTGGCTTTCTATCTCTTTTTTTCTAAGGCAAACATATAAAATAACAGTCAAAATTTGATGTCAATACTGCCATCCAAATGCCAGCTCTTCCCAAAGATGTCACTTTGTTGGGGAAGTTCCCAACTGTCCAGTCAATGGCTGAACATGCCATTGGTATGTGTTTCCCATTACCTATACAATATATACTCACTGTTCTAGGATGCTTGCTTGTTGCAGAGCATTCTTACTTTTTAATGCAGCATGGGCACCATCTTTGGCAGCAGGTTTTGTCATTGGCTGTGGAGGAATACAACAACTCCAATATATGGAGTATCATTTCAAAAGCTGTCAAGGCAGCTTTTCATGACCATAATGGTGATATGCATAGTTTATGTGAAGCTATTATCAAAATCATCATTCAGCATCGGATGTGTAAGTGGATATTTTTACTATTTATGGAGCTATTATTCTGAGATGTTTTCAGCAAACAAACTATTGGTAGAACAAGATAGTCAATAAAGTCTGTATATGGTCCATGTAGGTATGGGAATATTGCTTATCATCAGTTTCTATGGCATACTCAATATTAATCTCCACTGCAACATGTCTAGCATCAGTGTGATGTTGTTGCTTGTTACAAACAATTGCATCCCTCTGCCATTTCTTCACTGATTTGAATGGTTGAAGTTTGGAATACATGTGTTTACTGATGTACATTGATGTAATGTTAAAATATGGCACACCATACTATGGGGATGTGTCTAAACTTGTAGTGAATACCCCTACCTGTGAGTACCCATGGCCATGGCCATGCTTACAGTGGCTCAAAAATTTGTCCCAATGTTGGGTCATTTTAAAAAGACTTGACATTTGTGAGAGATCCAGAAGGAATCAGCTCAAACCCCTGCAGGGTCACCAATAGCCCTAACCCACACCCTGACAATAAGGGTTTAGTTATGTGATTTGGTTGTCATGGCAGTGTGATATACCCTTTTCAAAATAGCATATCATTGGGACAGTTTTTTGAGCGACAATTCTATTCTAGAGCTTTAATATTTAGTATGCCCTCCCTTTGCCTTTATCACTGCCTAGTCTCCTAGGCATACTCTCTATAAATATTTGCCACTCCTCAGCCACTATCTTGCCCCATTCCACTCCAACCCTCCCCAAAAGCTCCCAAACCCCTTTTGGTGGTGTTGCATAGCTGTTGCATGTATTTTTGAAGATTTTCCAGAGATGCTCAATGGGATTAAGGTCTGGAGATTGTGCTGGCCAATCAAGGACAATGATCCATTGAGGGTTTAGCTGTTCCTGTGCTCTTCTAGAGGAGCACTTGGGGTCGTTATCCTGTTGAAAGATAATCCTCTCCTCAGGAATTCCAGAATTCTCCATGCTGGAATGCACATTGTCCTTCAAAATGGAGACATACCACTCAGAATCCATCCTTGCTTACACCTCTGCAAGGATTCCCACTCCATGCTAACCCATGAATTCCCAAACCATCAAGGAACCACCTCCAAACTCTACTGTCCCTTTTAAAATGGTTATATCTCAGTGCCATGGCAATCAAATCACATGAGCAAGCCCTTGTTGTCAAGTTGATGGTTGGTGCTATTTGGGACCCTGCAGGAGTTTGAACTAATTCTTATTGGCTATCTCATAAGCATCAAATCTTTCCAAAACCATGAGTATAGCCAGGCATGTCAACCCATGTGCCAAGTGAATTGGTGTAGCTGTAGCAGCACTGTGGAGTCTGTAATTCAATGTTCTTGATATGTTTTGTAGATCTCCACTATTTTATTCACACCTTTTGGGGTTTTCCCATGCATCTGGGATGTGTAGTTTGCTTGTGGTTCATTCAATTCCCAATGGATTGACTTGTTACCTTGTACATAGATGGATGTAGACATGGGGAATTAAACAATGCTGAAACCATTTAAGGGATGCATGGTGTGATGTTTTTTTTTTTTGGCTTTTTCCATCCAGTTATATCTCAGCAACCAGTGAATTTGATTGGTTGATTGATCTTTTGACATGTTGTAGATACCCCCTAGGCCATCCTACCTATCAATCTACAGATCAATATGTCAAGAAGTGAATGAGAAGTGACATGATTCATGTTGTAGCACAGCCACATTGAGGGCTGGCATGCACTCAGGGGCAGCTTAGTGACCAGCTAGGTACATAGTGCTGGATGCAAGGTAGGTTCAGTCATGTGATACCATGTGGCTCTTAGGACCACATGACTGGCCACTCTCATGACCCAAGGAACCAGATCATGTGACCATGTGTGAGTTCAGTCATGTGATATCATGTGACCATTAGGTGCATATGACTGACCACTGTTGTGACCTGAGGCACAAGGTCACATGATTTGAGGGCACATGACCAGATCCCTCTGGTAACTTCATGACAAATTGTCACAAGACCCCAGATCACAGGACTGGAATAGTGCAATGACATGTGATCACCAGTCACATGACTACAGTGGTGGCACATTTGGAATACATTGGGTCATGTGACCATTATGGAATTGATCATGTGACTGGAGCACATGCCACTGTCCTCTGGAAAGGGGGCTGGTGTCATAGTCATGCCTCGACCCCAGCCAGACTTGGCCTCGCACTCACTCAGTCTGGCCTTGGCCTCGCCTGTCCTCTATCCCCAGATGTCCTAGCGTGGTAGACACTGCTTTGCAGTGTCTGTCACTTCGGCTAAGTCCTGCCTGGTCCTGTCTCCGGTCCACCTGTCCCAGTCTCCGCTACCTTAGTCATACGTTAGTAATCCTTGTCTTACCAATTGTCTTAGCAATCCTTGCGAGATCGGCATTACCGGTCTCCATACTATAGTTGTTTCTAGTATATAAACTCATAGATACTCAGCCTGTAGACCTCAGTCTGAAATCAACTAAGTTACCTCTGATAACCCCGTCTTGGCCTCGGACTCGGACTGAGACCCATGCAAGGGAATAGCGCTGTACTCCCAGTCGCTAAGTCCAATCAGTCCAATCATCTGTATCTTCGACTCCCCTTCTGATCCCAACCCCTCGGTCTCGCACCTGCTTTGGTCTCCAGTCTGGCCTCAACCTGGACATCCCATACTTGACAGCTGGGATGTCCCACAGTAGCTTCAGAAGCTATCATGGGACAACCCACTGGTGTCCAGAGTGGGGGGTGGCATGTCCCATAGTAGCATCTGATGCTCTAATGGGACATCTCACTGGCATCCACAGAGGGGGTTGGAATGTCCCACAGCAGCCTCCAAAGCTATGTGGGACATCCCACTGGCCTCTGGAAGGGGGAGTGGGATGTCCCACAATAGCCTCCAAAGCTATCATGGGACCACTGGTCTCCAGAGAGGGGGTGGGATGTCCCATCATTGCCTCTTGGTTGTTCTACATAGATGACCTTGATGAACATGTGACTAAAGGTGGAATTGAACCAGTAGTCTCCTGGGTGTTGACCTTGTGGTCTAACCACTGAGCTATATGATCTGAGTACCAATGTCAGTTGCTTGGGGGTTAGATCAGAGCTGTGTGAATAATAATCCATGAAGAGTAACACATAGAATGCACCATCTCCAACAGGCTTTAGTGATCTTTAGCACCACAAGTCCACCCTTCCTTTGAGAATTGACAAAGTCTGGTTTTCTGCTCATCCTGGTTGGATTGGTGTTTAATGCACATGGTAGTCCACTGGAGGGCCTTACAGCCCAGGGTAATAATGGGACATTGGGCCCCACAGCAACCAGATTACATAACCCCTTTGGCCAGTGTAGTTCTCACATGCTTGTGCCCCAAAATAGTGTCACATATTGTGCTACAATCTATTCCTTGGCTGGGAAGGTCTTCCACTCATCCTCATTGAATGCATTTAGTATGGTCTTATTAATGTGTACTCCTTCTATAAACAATGGAACTTACATACATTGGCACTCATGGGACAGTGCCGAATCCATTAAAATTTATCACAATGATTCAAGGCTCACTTCCATAAGTATTGTATGATTCTGGAGATGACACCTCACATGTCAGGAAAAGGGGACTTTGCTATAGGTGGTTTTTTTTTGCTTTTTATTGTCTTGCTGCACTTTCTGTCATCCATTGTCACTTTATAACTGAAAAATGGCAAAAGGGCAAAAAGGAAAAAAAAAACCACATATAGCAAAGCCCCCTTTTCCCTGAGCAATCACACTGATTCCCCACTTCAAATCAGTGCATAATAAGAGTGTACCAAATGGCATTGGAAAGTCAGTGGCTGCCATATACATAGCCCCCTACTTTGCCAGGTATGCTCATCATCTTGGATGATCATGACAGCTATGGTTTCTTGGTCAGAAGTGGGATTTCGATGTGAATATGAGCTGCACTTTTGCAGCTGAGGACCCCTGACACCTAAGGCAGCCATGGGACAGCCCGAAATATATTACCAAAGGGCTGGGATTATGGGACATCCCAGGTCCTGCACACTGTAAATAGCCCTGGGACATGGCCAGATGTCTCTGGGATGACCTGGTCTGAGTGGCTTTTAGCTTGAATGATTTGGAGAAAAATTTCAACTAGATGATTATGAAAATCAGTTACCTGAAGTGTTCCCAGTAGTGCACATTGATGGTTTGGGCAAGTTTGCAGCATTGTGAGAAGGTAGTAGGCTTTCTGATGTGAGTGATCTTGTCCTTGATGCAATCTGGAAGTCCACTGTAGAAGCAGTGGTGGAGGGGACTGACACCATAGTTTTTGATCTGTGAAGCCCAATATTGGACTCCATGACATATTTAATGATCCAAGAGCTGTCTTTCATAGTGAGGGTCTTGATTTTTTTTTTGTCCAATTTGAGTGTGTTGAAGGCAAACCCTATGTAGCACTATGCAAAGCTAAACTGTAACTACAGATGAGAGGGGGGAAGTGCCAGTTTGTTGGTTCTACACTGAGATGCACCTGTTTGCCAAGGCAGACAAGTACCAAGCAACAAAGTAGGGGGGAAGCTGCCATAGGGTCCTAACAAATCTAAACACAGAGAAGGAATTCTCTATCTATGACTTGATGTCAGCCCAGAACAATAGACACCCTGGGTCTTGAGTTGAGTGAAGGAGTGGAGGCTGCTACAGCACAACATTGTAGTCCCACCACAGCATACTGCAGTTGCTTGATGTGGGCAGGCATTGAGGGGGAAAGGGGGCTTGTGGAGCCAGGGACCTGGCTATGTAGTAAGGAAATAGGAGGAAGAGGGCAGGACTCCCAGGGGAGCATACAGCATGGCAACAATGGCATCCAGGGGGGCCTCCTTTGAGACAGCTACAAAAGTCCCCATTGGAGTTGAAGCTGACATGGACAGATCCCCACTTCTCAAACATTATTGAAACCACCTGGTACACATCCTCTGGGAGTGAATCAGTATATGTGGGGACCATGGAGGAGTGGGTGTGGTGAAGAAAAACTGGGCAGAACTCATCATCTAGTATGGGTTGCAGCCATGGGTGGTCAGGGTGGGATGTGCACTCCTGCATGGTGACAGGGAGATTGACAATGGGGGGGATGTGTTATATTTAGCAAGTTGTGCATAGTCCAAACATGTCCACTCCAAGCTGTGAGCATCAACATCTGTTTGAAGTCTTTCATACTTGTTGTTCACACAATTAACTTTCACACCCTTGTGCTTATTGTATTCACAGTGTCTTGGACTTATGTGCATGTTTCTTATTACTTACAAGGAATGCAGTGTGTCTTGCACAAAGAGCACCCTTGTCATGTACAGTGAGGGACAAAAGCATTGCAATGTTTGTGAGGTGTGAATTGTTGCTGATGTAGCTTGGGCTATTCTGCACAGATAATCATGATACATATACCATTGGAAGGGGATGACTCTAAGGTTTCCAGAGCACTAAGGTTCAGTCAAAACAAAGCAATAAATGCTGAGATACACCCTATTCTTTCCAAAAAGTGCATTGCAATGCTTTTGTCCCTGACTGGTGAAATCATGAAATGTGACCTTTTGATGGGATTGTGGGCATGGAGGATGGGAAAAATGCTTACATAATAAACCACATGATCATCCAGATGATTTGTCAGCATGTAAACAATGACAAACATTGGACTTGTACCATTAATCCTCCCTCTTTTACCACAACTCATGAAATCATCTCTCTAGCTCACATGGTCATTTTCTCAAGGAATTCTTATCAAATACTGGTGGCCACCACAGTGCCATCAGTATAACATGCTCTCAGAACCATCAGTCCCTTAAAAAACCTGCTGTCAGTCATTTCCTGGACTGTTTCCCCCCCCATGCCTGATGTGTTCTGGGACTAATCAGTACTTGGAAGGCTTAAAATGTTATGGAGGTCAATCTGGCACTTCAGAACATGATGTACAAACCAGTCCCCTCTCAATCAATGCATTTCTGGCACAGGAACACTGATATGGAGGTTGGGGTGAGACAAAACCTCCTTGTGCTCTGAGCACCATAAGAGGGTTCACTAGATCTTGCTCTGATCTGAACTGTAGATGACTGGGGAAGGATTATTTGGTCATATGTGACCAAAGGCAATATTTAGGGCCAGATGGAAGCACAGGATTCTGCTCCATGGCAGTTCAGTAGCATATCCTTCTGATGACACCCAGGGGTAAAGAGGATTTTGTCTTGCCCTAACTTCCATACCATTGTCCCTGTGCCAGAAATGCATTGGTTGAGAGGGAACTGGTTTGTACATCATGTTCTGAAGTGCCAGATTGACCTCCATAACATTTTAAGCCTTCCAAGTACTGATTAGTCCCAGAACACATCAGGCATGGGGGGGGAAACAGTCCAGGAAATGACTGACAGCAGGTTTTTTAAGGGACTGATGGTTCTGAGAGCATGTTATACTGATGGCACTGTGGTGGCCACCAGTATTTGATAAGAATTCCTTGAGAAAATGACCATGTGAGCTAGAGAGATGATTTCATGAGTTGTGGTAAAAGAGGGAGGATTAATGGTACAAGTCCAATGTTTGTCATTGTTTACATGCTGACAAATCATCTGGATGATCATGTGGTTTATTATGTAAGCATTTTTCCCATCCTCCATGCCCACAATCCCATCAAAAGGTCACATTTCATGATTTCACCAGTCAGGGACAAAAGCATTGCAATGCACTTTTTGGAAAGAATAGGGTGTATCTCAGCATTTATTGCTTTGTTTTGACTGAACCTTAGTGCTCTGGAAACCTTAGAGTCATCCCTTTCCAATGGTATAGGTATCATGATTATCTGTGCAGAATAGCCTGAGCTACATCAGCAACAATTCACACCTCACAAACATTGCAATGCTTTTGTCCCTCACTGTATCTTTGGGTTCATCACTTGAGTGTCTTGGTATTGTTACACTTAAAGATATATAGCCTTGCACTGTACTTTTGTCACCTCAGATGTTGTTGCTACTCATGTACAACTGAGGTGAACATGAACACTTTTTGCCCTTCCTTTACTATACTCATTCTCATACCTAGATTATTCATATAGGTGAATATGTATATAGACATTGTCACTACTCATGTGTGACTGAGATTATTTGTATAGATACATCTGTAAGGATGGGGATTGAGGGGGAATGGCTGTAGGGGCAGTGCCTGGAGGCTGCAAGGTTTGATGGGATGTTTGATGGGCATTTTGGAAGGCTTTGAACTTGGCTCTCAGGGCTGCTGTCTCTGCATGGAGCCCTGCTATCTCTGCTAGCAGTTTAGGGGGGGAAGGTTCCCTGCTGCAATGGTAGGGCACTGGTGACAATCTGAGGGGGATGGGGCCTCTGGAGACCCTGCTGGGTGTGCAGATGCACTAGCATGTCATTCTGGTAGAGTTTTACATAGCCAGGGAGCACCCACCTGGTCCCTGGCACAAGAGCCAGGGGGACTAACTGGGACTTGAAGGAGTGAAAGGTGGAGATGATCCATTGGATCACCTTTGGGCTGCCCTTACCACAAGAGATAGGGACAATAGGAATGGAGTGAGTCTTGCCAGCATGAGGGCCAGCTGTTAAGTCCAGTTCATCACTGGTCCAAAGCTGGTCCAGAGTCTGGTCAGGGGTCAGAGGGTGAGACAAAGGTACTGAGGGGTTTGGACTATTGGACTTAGTGACTGAAGGGCAGTGGTATTCCCTTGTGTGGGCCATAGTCTGGTTTGAGAGGCAGAACAGGATGAGACCAGGTTAGACAAGGCTTGATTGATTTCAGACTGAGGCTAAACAGATGTTCCTACAGCTTAAATACTAGAGGTAAACTAAGTGTAACATAGCACCAGAGACTAGTTTGCACTGGTAAAGCAATGATTAGTAAACTGATTGGTAAGTACAATGTTTCAAAGAATATTATCAAGCAAAGTATGAACAAAGGGTTGCCAGGAACCAGGGCAGGACTAGTGGCTGGGCCAGGTATTATACTGGTCTGGTACCAACTGAGCAGACAACTTGATTGGGCACTGCCTTGCAGTGCCTCATGAGCTAACACATTTCTGGGTTGAAC